TGTTTTTCCCTTTTTGGCCAAATATATTTTTTACTACAACTGTCTTGTTGACGGCGTCTTTTATTCGTTCCACTGGGGTTTAGCAGGTGTGTTTATAAAGAGACGAAAATTGTTTGGGTACTATCCCCCACGTTCTAGTTGAGATGGTATAACCCAAGAGGCAAAATGACGCTTGCTACTGTTGTTGCGAGTTGCCATTCGTTCTACTAAACCATTAGTCAAACGCCGTCATGTCTTCTGTCGTTATTACACAAACAAAAATCTCTTTACTGTTACTAGTGTTAGTGCCTCAATATGGCTACGCTCGTGAAAGCAATACAAGGAACTCAAACGCGTCTTCGTTCAATGTTGTCAACTAATATCCGGATTAATTTTATGCAAGTTTTCCTCAATTCTCCGGGGAAATTTTCATAAAATATTGAAAAACCCGGAATTCCGGGAAAATCCGGAGGACTTTCATCTCTGCATTCCGGAGTAGTTTGTTCCTTTATGCCTCAATCACAAATCTGGCCTCAGTTTATTTTGGATATCTGGACATGTCGTCGAAAAGGCTTTAAGAGTCGGGGGCGTAAAATAGAAAAAGAAAAAAAAACATCAGCAAGATGATGCTCGAGCGTCACTTTGCAGGTACTCCTGCCAAAACCAAGAAATGCTAGTGGCGATTGCCTCATACAAGCTCGCCCAAAACAACGCTGCCGTGGAAAAACTGTGACCTGCACATTGATTACGCTATAAAAGTTCAATGGAATGTTCCGAGACTACTGTATCTCTCTCTCTCTCTCTCTCTCTCTCTCTCTCTCTCTCTCTCTCTCTCTCTCGCTCTCTCTCTCTCTCCCCCCCCTCTCTCTCTCTCTCTCTCTTTCTCTCTCTCTCTCTGTGTGCGCGCGTGCGTGCGTGCGTGTGTACACTTTGAGCAAAACTTTTCCAACCCGTGTTAAAAAAAAACGGCATACAGTATTCCTTTTAATTGTTTATTTTGTTTTTGTGTTGTGTGTTGGCAACTCGCCGGTCGCCAAATTTCCTACAGTACTTAAAGGGTTCACCCGTTTCTCTCAATGGGTCGCTTTGATTCGGAGTTTTATAAAGCAGGATTTAGAGTTCAATTCGTGAGCAAATAAACACCTTTGACATTAAACTGAAAAATATACTGTAGGTCCCATTAATCGATCAATTCTGATCCCTGTCGCGACACCCCCACCCTTAAGTGTAATGGTACATTCCACAGAACCAAAACAAAAAAAATGGCACATGAGATGCAGAAGTAGGCTAACGAAGGCGAAACGAGGCGTCTGCATTTGTATTTGACACAAACGAAACCTCTGTGGAGCTTGAATAAAACGTCCCACTACCAAGTGAGACATGGCGACACACATACTAAGCCTACTTTCACGAATAAGAACCCCGCTACTGTTCGTCGAGGGTCCCGTGTCCCGTGTGGCTGCCACCGGTGTCAGGTTCAAACATATTATTTTAACTCCTGGAAGTTTCGAGCTGGGACCCAAGCCAGCGACAAGTCCCGTCCCCGGCTATATTAACACTGCGAACTTTACAACCACCACAGCAACCCGCTGGAAGTCCACCCGCGAGAATTGTTTCTCTTGTCCACCAGGGAAGCGTGTTAGGTTGGCCACTGTCATTGGCACCGGCGTGCTGACAGCGGCTCTCCATACTGGGACGATGGCAGCCGTGAATTTTGACCTGAACTCCACTGAGGGCGACTGGAAGGAGATCAAGGGTGAGGCTGACTGGTGCACCTTTCAAGAGTCGTCGTCTTACTGGTCTTTCCGACATGAAATGTGAAACGTTTCCAATTGGAAAACCGTAGAAATGAAATAATCAGTGCCAGTGTCAGACTGAATCATTGAGCACCCCAAAAGGTTTGTAATTCTCTATAGATACCACATGATGGTGACAAAGCACAACCCGAAGCTCCTAAACTCACTTCAAGACAGTTTCCTTATCACCAAGGCAAAGCGATACCACAAAAACACTCAGTCATAGCAGTGGGAGTCAGGCTCATTGTACCTTATAAGGACTGGGAAAGCGGTGCTTTACCCAGTGAGTAATGATGGAATTGGTAAGTCACTGATTGCGAATATATAGGGGAACATTGCATTGTCAACATTAATGCGTAAAAGCAAGTAGACGCTCAAATCTTAACTAACCAAAAATCACGAAGGCATAATGTGAAAGGGATTCTCATTGCATTTCCATTTTTTTAAAAACAATTTTGTCTTCAGAGTTGTCAATGAACCTATTTTTGGAATGTGGGAGGAATCCGTAATCAAGGTAGAACATATTATCTTCGTGAAATCTGTTTAAATTGCTCGAAATCTGTTCCATTGTTTCTCTCAGAATTCCTCCTGTCTCAGCCTGTGGAGGTTCGACGCAAATACTACAAGACTGACTCTGTACGACTGGATGATATCCCAGCTTGGACTCACGCTGGAGGTCTGTCCACAAACACAATTTCTTTTATTACAAGTATTGCACTATCATTGGTGTCATTTACCAGTCACATACTTGGTCTTGTACGTTTCCGTGTCAGATTGTCCTGAAGTGAGTCACTATCCCAGGAATCAAAAGCTTGATGGGAAAATCTCGGTCTACAGCGGCAACATCACAGTACTGGAGGTAGATGCCCTTGTCAACGCAGGTATGTGATCCTGTAAATGTTGTCTAAATTTGACATACTGCAGACGAAAGTGTTCTTAACCTTTTTGTCAAATTTGAATGATTAAAAAAAAGAATGGGCTCGTATGTATAAAATAAGGCTTAAAAATAATAAAACTAAATCAAGCTCTTGTAGCTGCTCTCAAATGCGCTGGGTGTGTCTGCTTAATGTATGATGCCATGGCTTGCTGAAAATTGGATGCTACTTCGTCTATCAGCTTATACTTGCTGACTTTGGAGCGGCCCGGCCAAACGATGTCCACTTGCAGCCACTGGTGCTTGGAATATATCCCACCAAGTTGTTGGGTTTTCTGACAAGCCCCGCCTACCAGGGCAGGGTTCGTCTCTGCCGGCGGCTTGGTCTGCGGCATCAGCTCCTCTCTTGGAAATTTAAATCACGATAATGAGCTATTGTATAAATTGTGTCGTCCTGGGAAGATGCATGTTTGGGGTGTATAGCTAGTTAAATAATTGCACACTCTATTTGTAGAAATTACTTGGTGGGGGAGGGGTGATTAATGCCAGACGTTCAAGTCTGGGTGCCTTTTTATCAGGAAAGCTGAAATGGTTTCTCAGTGATTTCAAATGTTTTCAGCAACTGACTTGTTGAGATGCATTGTATTGTATTGTAATTATGTTCAGACAATTCTTTGAATTCGCTTTACAGGCTCTTTGTTTGATCTGAAAAAGTAATTTATCTACCACAAATAATATATCTTTGATCATCTACCATCTATTTATGACAGCGAGTCATAATGACTAACAAAACAGTATAATGCTCTTCAACCAAATGGCAGAGGGTGCAATTAACCTGTGTATTCACCTGTTGAAGAACAGAAGCTTTGTGTTCAACTGAACAGGCCCACTTTTTACACTATTAAATTGAAACACGGTCATCATCATCATCATCTCCGTATGTATACTTTTATGACATTTTATTTTGGTGGAGTTCAGTGAGATTTTTATCCAATGTCCTGCTCAAGTCAAGTTGTGAAACACTGCCTTCAAGCCACCATTAGATGGCGATGATAACCCGCTCATGAGCCGCTCAGCTTCCCCAAACGGCTGTTCGCGCATTTGGGAGAAATCTAATCTGTGTCTTGGCACAGGAATGCGTCAAGGGAGGGGAAAGGCGGGCCAGCATGCCTAAATGATGCTTGATGATGAGACTGTAGCAGAGAATGATAGATCTCCATTTGGCAGCTGACTGTCAGCAGGTGCCAACATCCAAGTGAGTGTGTGGATCATTCACTCTCATTTGCCGCATCACTGCTGCGCGTGTAGGCAAACATTAAAAGTGCACACAAACAGAGGGGATTATGTGCTTGTATACAGCATGTGATGGTAATTTGTGTCCGTGATGACAACTTTTGTGTGTTGAGCTCGTTTTACAAGAGATTTTACAGTGTGGCAAATGGCAAGAGCACCAGTAAAGTAAAGTGTCATTCAGCTGAAAAGTATTGCGAAAGAAAACATGTCTGTCAAACACAGAATTCGGACAAAAAGCAAGATGGGGGCCTGGAAGAGACTGCAATAAATATGAGGCGGAGCGAGGCTCGTATTTAAATCGCTGACGGCATCTCCATGGCAACAGGCAGGGACAGGGTGCCCTCGAAGGGTTTTTGGGCTGAATCGTCCGAGCATCCTTTCTTCTGTCTGACTGATTTGCTGTCCAGCTGACATTCTCTGCAGTCTTTTGTTGACTAAGAGGCCGACCTTTTCACGTGCTGACTAACTGATTGACTCGGAAGCTTTGAGCGAGGTCACTTCCACGCTTGAGACAGTGGCTGGACAGTTAAGGACAAGAGAGCGATTATAAAAAAGGGTGAGTTATTGAAAATAAATAAAAATATAAATAAAATCAACACCAGCATACTTATTCTCCCGCGGTAGAGCTGCCATGCAAGCAGGAGCATGGGGAAGCAGTGAAACTCGTGGTTGACATGCGGCTCGCACTGTAGCTGTTATTGTGGCTACATCATTTAGCCTAAAGCAAGCAGCAAACATTCACTTGAAGCCAACTGTGGCCAATTATACGCCATGCTAGCTGACTGGTAGACCAATATAAGGTGGGGTGAGTGTTTCATGGCCTGAGGACACACAAAAACACTCCCTAATATGTACACTATCTCACACCGGTGGTGACTTTGCATTAAATGAAGGGAGAGAGGATACTTGCCCTAATAAATATTTCATCTTTAATATAGAGAAGTGATTCAAATTAATGTGGATATATAAACCTGCCCGAGAATCCTCATAGTGCTGGGAAATGTTTTCTTGAGTGTGTGTCTGTGACTCTCTACTTGGCTTTACCATGGCTCTATTGCCGCATTCCCGTTGGCAGAAATTGGCACCAGCAGGTACGACAAGGCACTATTTTGGGCTCACCAATTAATTGAATTCAAATTGGCATTGCGGTGTAGCAGGATGCAATTATCAAATTGCAAAGGTTGTAGTTTAGGAAAACAAAACCAAACAAAACAAAAAAAGAGTCATTTTGTTTGGTTGGGAAGCTTTTTTCTTTTTAAATATATATAAATGTCCTGTATATTTTATTTATTGATATAGTATTTAAATAAGTTCAGTGCTTAAGTGCAGTGCACATGTTTACGCATCATTCTTTCATGAAACAGTTGAAATTGAAGTGATACAGCCACAGTTTTGTTTGCATTATTGTTGTCATGTGACATATGGTAAATGCTTGTCTGAAAAATTTGTTAGCCAATATTTGTTGGGGAACTGAGGCTCCACTAATTAATTGCTCCATCGCTGGAGCTATGGAGGGCTTGAAGCTTACTGGTACTTTAACTCATGTCATTGCTCACAAGTGAAGACAAAAAAAAAAAAGGTTCAGCAATTTCTTGTACAGTATTTTGAAAAAAAAACCCCTCCACTATTTGTGAATGGAATCCATATTGGCTCAAGGCAACGGTGTACAAAGTATGGCCTGGGGGACATTTGTGGCCCACCATGCATTTTTAAGCAGCCCACAACTTATACCAAAGTTTAAAAAAAAAAAAAAAAAAGGTGGAGGTGGGCAGCGAGAGAAGGGAGGGTATCAAAAAATAGGTGCAACTACTACTAATTACTTGGTTTCAATATTCCAGAGCTTTTCTAAATATGCAAAAATATAAGTAGACTATTTATTTACGATTGCTCGAAGACTGCAAGGGAAGCTCAGCTTCCCCTAAAATGTCAAAAAGTAAGTGATCAAATACATGTGTACATACAATTGTGTGGACACGTCGTTGACTAAACATGCGCTACAACGCGCTCAACTTTTGTTCCGAATCAGCTTCTTATTACTGGTTACGACGCGACTCTCTTCTCATTCATTCCCGCAGCTTCACTGTGCTTTAAACTGTGTGGACGCTGAGTGTCTACAGCGCGGACGCTGGGCGTCAAGAAAGTAGTCCCAAAGCATTGAAATGAGACGAGTCATTGGATAAATGCTGGTTTTGTCCCGCCCGCCGGACGCTCAGCGTCTCTGGGAGTCCATGGACAGTAGGCGTGCCCGGACGCTGAGCTTTTCTGCATGATGATTGGATGATCTGTCTGAGGCTGAATCTCTTTTTGATTGACAGCGAAATGAGCCAATCACCGATCTTTTGGTGTAGGCATCCGTGGGAGCATTTTTCAATTCTCATTCTGTTCTGAGTTGAACTGGAGACTTCTTCTAATCATTTTAGCGACACTCTCTTCGTTGAAAGCGACTAGTGACAAATTAATCTTTTATTTCTGGTGGGTTTTATTGTAGTTGCTTGTGTTCTCAGACTGACTTATATCACCATAGGGTCACAGATCATTTTCTTGAAAAGGAACGGACAGTAGAATTCACGTATAAATAAACGGACACATTTTATGAAATTGAGCTTCCCCTCCTTGACAGACCAGCATCCGCCACTGGCTCTAGGCTAGTGGGATACAGGACCACTCGACACCGCAAAATCTTGAAAAATAGTTAACTAGTTGCCTCATCACCTTTAAAAGAAAGCTGTTTTGTCGCAGCTTATCACATTCATGAGAAGATATAAAGAATATACAATGTCTTGCTTTGAAGAATCTTAAAATGGCCCTTGTATTCTTTCATTTTGGTCTAGGATTCCCGCAAACGAAAAAGTTTGGACACCACACCGGGTGAGAGGAACTTTTATCGGAATAAACCAATCTTTTTATTGTTCAGTGGGGCAGTTATGTTTGTGCCCTATGAATTCTGCCGAGCAACAAGTGTAACAGCTGGTTCAGGAAAATAATCTCAGCAATACTGTGCATCGGCTGGATTTGAATAATCACATGCTGTTTTACCATTGGCACTCACAGCATTGTTATCGAAGGTGAAAAAGTGAGTTCAAATATTAACATTAGATTGTGAGAGAGAAAATTGTCATTTTTTCCACATTTTCCTACCCGAGTGACAGGATCCAAAGATTTGGGTTTTTCAGACGTCAGTGAAGTATATGTGCCAATGAATGCACATTTACGACATTTGTCAGCACGCCCTGATTGATCAGGTAAGTGGGGCGTTGCGGAAATCTGGGCGGGCGCTGCATGTCGTTTGTGTCACTCTCAATAAAGATTGGATTTACAGTAATTCCCCACTTCGCCTACTCGTTTTCCTCCTGGCCCGCCCCCTCCCTCGCTGCTTCTACACTTTAACTGCCTCTGGCTTCTGCCCACGCCTATAAAACACTACAAACATAAAATCTCACATGCACTTAAAAGCTGTCCTGGCGTGGAGGTGGGCGGAGGAAGGTGGGGAGGGGGCGGTACAATACAAAGGGGGAGGAGAGGCCAAAACATCCTCCTCTTTACACCTCTCAATCACTTGCTCCGTACAAGGAACGAGAGATGGAGGGGAGGATATATTGTCTCTGATGGGCTTGCTGATTAAGATGGATTGCACAATGAAACGTCAATGAAGTGAGGAGTTCTCAGGGATTGTGTACATGAATGTGTGTGTGTGTGGGGGGGGGGGTCCACAAC